GGAGACGCAGTTCTGGGACTGCATGGGCTCACGCAGCCCTGCCAGGGCTTGGGCAGCCTCCTCGCAGGAGTGCTCCTGGCTTCCTCCGGGGAGGGCGCAGGGAAACGTGGGGAGCCATCAGCACGGTCTGGGAGGCTGAGAGCGGGTGTGCAGGCTGGAGTCGGGGAAAAACCTCTGGCAAGAGCCCCCACACCCTCTGATGTGCTGGCCCCCTGGCCGTGGTGGAACATCATGCCTTGGCAGAGTCCTGCTGGCATGACCTGAAGAAGTATCAGTACTTATAGGGAGATCTTTTCTTGGTTTTTCCCTTTTTACATTGTATGTGAAAGCTCGGTGAAGAGGCAGCTGGAAGCAGCACAACTATCCAGCACAAAAGGCCTCAGAGGGCTGCAGCTGGAAGCATGGAAACTCCTCTGCTCTGCTCGTGGCTGGCCGCAGTGCCTGCACGCAAGTGACCCGGCGCCCCGGCCAGGACCTGGCCCAGGCCTGCCTGCAGTGGGCCTGGCCACCATGAGCCCAGTGGCTCCTGAGGAGTGATCAGGTATCGTTACCCTGGCTTGATGGGAAATATGTAAATAAACCCGTCCAGAATCCTTCCTCTCAAGCAGAAAATACAACAGTGCTCCAGGCTTGGGGAGGAGCGGCTGGAAAGCTGCCTGGTGGAAAAGGACCAACAGAAGCAGGGAGGTGATTGTGCCCCTGGACTGGGCACTGGTGAGACCACACCTTGAGCACTGTGTCCAGTTCTGGGCACCACAGGGTAAGGACATGGAGGTGCTGGAGCGGGGCCAGAGAAGGGCAACGAGGCTGGTGAGAGGGCTGGAAAACATGCCTTGTGAGGACCTGCTGAGGGAACTGGGGTTGTTCAGTCCGAGGAGACCTTATTGCTTTCTGCAACTCCCTAAAAGGAGGTTGTAGTGAGGCTGGTGTTGGTCTCTTCTCCCAAATTACTGAGGATAGGATGAGAGGAAATGGCCTCAAGTTGCACCAGGGGAAGTTTAGATTTCTTCAGAGAGAGTGGTTAGGCACTGGAACGGGCTGCCCAGGGAGGTGGTGGAGTCATCATCCCTGGAGGTGTTCACAAAAT